TTTTTTTTTTTTTTTTTTTTTAAGTATGTTACCGCATAACTTTGCACCACGTCAACCGATTTCAATTTGCAACGGAAAGGGAGTGTCTCAGAGGTGGTCCCATACTAATTTGGTTTAGATCCGATCATTGGATCATGAAATATATAGATATATATATATTTTTTTTAAGTCGGTTTTTTTTGCTAAAAATTACTTGTTATATTTAAATTTTTTATCCTAAACATTATGCGACACTTATAAAAGTAGGATTTTACATTTATTTCCAATTTTATATGTGAGCTTAACTCTAACAATTTTGAAATTAGATTTTTTTCATGCGAAATAGTTTTCCATTAAAGACTTTGCTTCAAGCAGTCTTAAATTAAGCTCTTCCATACTTGCTTGCATGGTTTTAATTATTTCGGTAAGAAGAAATATTTCTGTTCTCAACGTGCATTCTAAAGACTGGCCTGTTTGAGTTTGGACATCAACAAATAATGTATCCTGATCGCGTTCTAAATACTCACTTGTTTCAGTTATTTCGTATGGCATTGGGACTGCGCCTGGGTATAAACGAGCTCGTTTGAAAGTGCTTGATTCGGACGGACAATTAATGAAATCACTTTCCTTGAAGTGGTTTTCACAAACGCGAGATGAAACACGTAGTACAACACCATAGCTTTCTTCCCATCGCTGCCGTCTTAATTCGCAACTAGGTGGTTTAAAACATCGCACTAATTTCGTGTCCTGACTTTTATTGCATACAACGCACCGTTCAAACGTTTTGCTCCGTTTCATCTTGGTTTCCTTACATTAAATATTTAAGAAAAGTCTAACGAATTTACTTATTACCCAACTTTAAATGTACTTACTTGCTCTCCTCGGCGGTTTATCTCTTAACAATTTCATATTTATTAAGAAAAGTTGTTGCTTGAATAATTTGTGTGTAACTTTTTTTTAAACAAATTCAAATTTGTAAAAACAAAATTCAAATAGGTTAAGAATTCATTTCAGTTTGACATTATAGCCTGTTTCTTATGAGAGCAATGTCAAAATCAATCACACTTTGTTGAATACATTTTGGTTGTATGTGAATCAGCCTTTAAAGGAAGTGAAGCAAAGCTGCCATTTGGCCACCCTTCATACGTT